TGGAGGCACAGGTGCAAGAAGGGAATTCTATGCATACTATTTGAGGTGTCTGTAAGAAAGACAGGTCACTAATCAAATACATAAAGTCACGTTAACTTGTCTGTATAATCTGGGGGGGGGGGGGGGGGATAGAAAAGTCTGTCTGCATCAATCCAATTTCACAATTCTAAATTTCCTCTCTCTCAGTAATATCACTCAATTTGTTAAAGATTGCTATTAATACAAAGAGGCTGAATTAGATTTTAAATTATCTTAACAGGCAACTTTTCTGTATGAAAACATGCAAACCAACTGTTGCATTAGATGTAAATATTCTGAGTAATAATCAACAAGTGTCTATTAAAAAAAATTAAAAATTCCCCTAGAAAACAACTTGCGTCATATACAGTAACTCATAATTCCAAGCCACAACCAAAAACTCATATCTAAAGTTCAGATGTATACTGTTATTTAAACTGTTTGCCATATTCAGTTTCACTCTGATAGTTACAATTATATAAAACATCATGAGTATCAATATAAATAATTATGTTACCTTAAAACTAATAAAGACACATAGAGGTCTTGGAATTTAGTTATACAGATGTGGTGATCAGCTTCTGCATTCCACAGGGAAACATTTCGTCATCTGTAATATGGGAGGGCTTGAAGTTTGTTTTACTTCATAAATATAATTGCTCATGGGAATGAAATCTCCATAATAAAATCTGCCCAGCCCTATAGAAAGGGCTTACAATTATTGCTCTCAAACACTAAATATCTAATACACAGACAAATCATAATTGATTACCAACATAAAATAAACACAAGACAGTACATTCCAAAAAAACTATGGAGAAAGTTTAGACAGTAGTCCTATATGCGAAGCACACTGAAATAGGTCTTGGCATGAGGGGGTAAGTATTTCATATGAATTCTCTAACCTGAACAAATGATTCATTTAACTAATCCAAAGGGTGTTCAATATTGCCCCTAATAAACACTATCTTATTATAGACTGTATTTTTCTGAATTATATTCATCTAGGTTACCTGAGGAACGGATTCTCCACAATTACATCTGCCTGTGCTGGTAGATTTGGCAGAGAGGGTATGCTTTGTGTCCCATCTGCTAGGGACTTACATTTGATGGTCCCAGGAGGTGGGCTCTCTCTGTTGTAGGGTCTGCCTCTGAAATCTTCTCCCCCCCCCCCATGCCCAAAGTGAGGTTAGCTTCATCCTGCTAATGTTCCCTAGTCCCTCAAGACCTGCCTTTGTCATCAGGCTGGAGGTCCCGGGGGACTGGTGATATTTTTAGATGGCTCTTTTATTCATTTATAATCTTTCCTATATCTGATGGTTTGCATTTTTAAGAATGATTTTTAAGAATCATATTTTAATTATGTTTTATTTTATTGTTGTATGTCATCCAAAATCCTCTGTTGTGAGATGAGCAGCTATATATGGTAGATTTATTTTAAAAAAATATTCATTCCCTAGTCAATTGTTCTGTGTATCAAAAAACAAACTCCTAATTACTGGGGAATTAGTTGACATGAGACAAACCCAACTAGACCAAACTTATGAAAACTCCTGTTCTTCTCAGTGGGCTCTTCCACATCCCTGAAAGGAATGTGTGAAAGAGGCAGAAGAGGTGAGGGTGGCTAAGAATTTATCACGAAGAACCAAATAATATCATATCACAACTGAAACAATATACCAAAGCAGGGTGGGAGTAGAGAATAAGAAAATAATTGTATTTGGAAGTAATAGCTTTCCAGCCTCCTTTATAGCAGCTAAAGCTAAAAGATAGAGCCATACAACTTGTGACATGTGGTACAAAGGTGATTTTCTTGATTGGAAGAGAGATCTTGATCATGCTCAGTGCAAATACAAAAACAGACTATATCCAAAATCTGGTTGTCTGTCCCCAATAAATGCAGAGTAAAATCTAAAAAATATTTTAATAAAGGAACAAATGAGTATCAACAGGTTTGAAAACGAGCTACAGGTGGATTCAGACAGTATTGTCTCTTTACAATACTTACTCTCACAAGGTTAAATCAGTTCTGTTTAGAAAAGTATAAGACTTGCAAAGATAAAGTCGTTATCTACAGGAATGTATTCAGAAGACATCAAAAAAGACCTCGTGTCACAAAGTTTTCACACATGTAGAAGGATTTTGTTTGATTAAATAAATATCCAAATATTGTGAACACATTCTGAACTGTTCCAAGTCACTTAACTCCACAAATAATCTACTGCCTAAAAGTTTAAACTTCACATAAACAACTATTTCTATAGAAATAATTAACATAAAAGTCTGCAACAACATATGCAAATACTTTCATCATAAAAAAACCCTGTGAGTATACAGAATAGGTAACTTCTAAACTTAACTACCTGAAAGAAATATCAGTAACAGCTTTAGACTTTTCAAAGAATTTCCAACAATCTGGATAACAATCAGAATATGAGAAAGGATGCCCCAAGTTCTCATAAATCTATTGTAATTTCTTCAGCACTGCTGAAAATATATACTTTTATCTTTTATCTAGTATTTATACTTTATACTATTCTGGAAAACACAGGCTTTCTACTAAGCTCTGGTATTTCACATAGAACATCCAATATACTTAAAATATACACAAATCTGAATGTTTTTGATTTATCACTTATAGCTTTTATGTACACTGAGAGCTTATGCACCAAAGACAAATTCCTTGTGTGTCCAATCACACTTGGCCAATAAAACATTCTATTCTATTCTATATTTATACTCTTCTTACTGTACCATACAATTTCACATCCAAATATATTGATAAATTGAAGTTGTTAATGCTTCTTTCTCTTAGCATCTCTTATTTTATTCAGCAGCATTCCTGAAACCAAAATGTCACAGAAAAACCCAAGCTTCCAATTATATCTAAATGTCCCAAGAAATACTCAATAACTTTTGATGTATAAACAGGTCATATTATTAACAATATCAAATATTATACCTTTACAAATATTCAATTTTATTGAAAGGTCACAACACAAAATACCAAGTTTAAACACCTTTCTTTTCCAGTTATTTCATGCTGCTATCACTATGGTAAATCAACAAGTCAACTTTATTACAATTAAGAATGGAGATATTTCAATATGACTAATGTACCTTGTAGAAGTGCCTTTCCTGACATCACATATGCTGCATTTGAAGGCTTCAGCGCTGTTTCTAAAAGTGCAGACGCTACAATCCCAAAAACCTTCATCAGCTACAGGTTTAGCTTGCCTTTTGGGTCTTGAGAAGTATATATATATATATGAAGAAGGGTAAGCAAGGAAAGAAGAAATAAAACGTGTTAGAAACAAGATAATAAAACAAGGCTACTTCATGTTACATTCTGCTTGTCTGTTTCTTTTTTTTCCTCTGGCTAAAAAAGTAATCCCATTTTTATGGGAAAGAGGTAAAAGGGAGGGGGAGCAGGAAGAGGTGCAAAATATTTATAAACCTGAACCACACTGTGCCTCACTCTCACCAGATACATATTCTGCTTTCCCCCATTACTATATCCCTGAGTAAGAGAGGAAAGGATAACATTTCCTCTCAATCTTCAATCCCAAGACAATCGATTTTCACTCAACACAGAGTACCAGTGAATCTAGAAGGGAAGGGAAAAGGATGGTGAAAGGCATCTGAGAGGGCTTGAAACCCTCCCTCTTTTTTTGGTGGGGAGGGGGAGCTTAATTGTACTTTAAAGGATTGTAGGCGTGTCCCTCCATGCGCCCCCTCTGTCTGTCTATCTGTCTGTCTGTCTCTTTTACCTTGTTAAATCTCCCTTTGTCTGGAAGAAGTCAGTGTGAGGAGATGTATGTGTGTGAAAAGAGAGTGAGGAGCCGCCATAGCTGCTCTAACACCAGATTAGCCCTGGCACCGACACACACACACACACACAGAGGAACACAAACATTTGCTCTCCGCTTTGCTTTTACACACTCCCTCCATCTTAAGAGCTACCCTGGCCACAGAATACAGCCTCCCCCCACGTCTTACCACACAAGGAACTTCAGCTTCCCCTCTTCTCCACCCAACACCATTGAGAAAAAAGGAGTTTTCCGTACCTGGCTGGGAGGGAGGCAGGCAAACAAACAAGGCTCTCTTCCTTACTCACTTCCTCCATCTTAAAAGCCCCCTCCTCTACCACTACTACTACTACCACCACCACCACCACTACTACCACTCTGTGGCCTAGTCCCCACACGCAGCGCCTCCCCAGAGCATAAAGCGGAGGTGGGTGCTCTAGCTGGCACTCGCGCATACTCCTTTCTATTCCCTTTCCACACTCCCTCCATCTTAGGAGAAGCCCTCTCTCTCTCTGTTTTAAGCCCGCTTCGCCAAAGCGCCCCGACTTCTTTCCCTCCTCCTCCTCCTCCTCACCTGGTCGGGCTCTTCTTGTCGCCCATGGTCATGGATCGGTGGAGACGGGGCCCACTCTCCTCGCCTCGCGCACCCGGGGCGGAAGGCAACGGGGCTGACTCCTCCGACCAGCAGGCTCCGGCGGCTCCTCAGCAGCCGCCGCCGCCACCACCGCTCCTGCCGCTGCCAGGCTCCCGCTCCAGACTAGGCAGCGCAGGGAGCGCAGCCCCGCTCTTCTTCCCCTCCCTCTCTCCAAGCCAGGCAAGCACGGCTACAGCGGGCGGAGCTCGCGGCCCTCCCCGGCCAATCCGGGCAGCTCGGCCTTGGGCTACCGCTGGCGCGAGGGAAGGGGAACGTGCAACACCCCCCCTCCTTCCACCTCACACACGAGCACCCCCTTCAAGCCCGTCAGGCGCGGCGGCGGCGGCACGGCTCCCTCGGCGTCGAACGGAGGTCGCCCCGATTTCGTGCGAGAACCGAGGAGAGCGTGTCGTCGTCGTCGTCGTCGTTTGGGCGGCGCCTGGCCACCCACAAGGCCAGCATGTGACCCCGCCTCGGTTTAGCCGTCTGCCGCTGGGAGCTGAGAGGGTGGCCAGTGTGCGGGTCGGATCCGTCCCCCGGCCAAAGTGGGGCGGGGAGTGGGATGAGGGGGAGGGGGGGAGTCGTGCGCTTCGCCCTCCCCTGTGTTGGTGTCTCTGCGCCTCAAAAGGGGATGGAAGTGTGTGGGGAGTCGGTCGGAAGAGGACGCGGAGGAGCACTCCGCGTCTCTGAAGTTGCTCGCCCCCTCGCGCGAAGGTGCTTTCAAACTGTCGCCCTCCTGTCACGCCCGCGTCGGCTACTCCGGATTTATCTCGTTAAAGCGTGTCACCTGGCTCGCGCCGTGGCTGTTGCCCTCTTTGACGCCCGCGTGTGCCAAGCGGGGGGAGGGGGGGCGACGGGTTAGCGTTAGTAAAGGAGGCCACCTTTTTATTATTATTATTTTCCTCTTTAGGAACATAAATTGGAGAGAAGACATGCCCACCACGCCTGGATCCTCCGGACTGTGTAATTACGCTTGGAAACTACATCCCCAAAAAGTAGGGGGGCGGGTGCGTGCCAATGCTCATATACATTTCGTTTAGCCACCGGTGCCACTGCCTCTAGTCTGGAGACTTCTTTTCAGTCACGTTTTCTGGGAATTGAGAAATGTGTCAACATTTGCTCTTCCTGTGTCAGTACCTGCGAAGCTGCGTTATTCAAGGTTACTCTGCAAGCAGTCCTTGATAGACTGGGTGCACACCCCGTCATGGAATTGCATCATGCATGTAAATAGATTTCAAATTAACAAACTTGGAAAGCTTTTAACCAATTCAGGTAGTTAAAATGCAGCAATTTTTAAAATTTCTGCCCTCTCAGGATTGTCAGTAATCTGTTAAGCCATAACAGGAGAGCCATGTCTGCCTATGGTGGGAAAAAAAACTGTTATCTTTTCTGACTTACCCATATTATTAAAATGCATAATCAACACCTTTCTGATTTATGGCAGATGCATTTATCATAGATAGATAGATTAGATAGATAGATGATAGATAGATAGATAGATGATAGATAGATAGATAGATAGATAGATAGATAGATAGATAGATAGATAGATAGATAGATAGATAGATAGATAGATAGATAGATAGATAGATAGATAGATAGACAGACAGACAGACATATGTTTACTTGTGAATATTTTCATCTGTTGCAGAAACTAGTTCAAAATTAGATGTACTATTAGAAACATGAAGTCAGAAAACCTTGTCATGAACATGAAGACACTTTGAATCCGCAAATCACAGAGAAGAATATACCATCAAAGTAGTACCTTAAAGAACTTCTTGATTTCCCTCAGAAATTGAATCTCTTGCATATATTTCTTTAATGCCAACTAAGCTATACATACATTTACTTATTTATTGTTTAGTGTCTATCAAATCTGAAGGATGAGAGACTTAATCTGTGAATATTTTTTCTTCTCAATGTAAGGTTTTGTAACATGTACCTTGGAGTATAACTTCCAGAAAATCCCTAAAATTTACCTGAAAATTAAATATTTCAATATCACATAACAGGACAATTATTAAAACTAATTTAATAATTTTCTTGTCATCTGAAATGTATAATTCTGTGGTAATTTAACTTTATTCTTATTTTTCCTTTATGAAATAAAAGAGTATAAAACAGTATTTTTTTGTTGTTAGAGATTTCTTCATTCTTTTATGTGTGACATGGTTCTAATTTTAGAAGCAGAAATCAGTCATTGTTTTGCCTAGATTTCCTTCTTCAAAAAACATGATTACCAGCGAAGGAAAAACTTAGTCTCCAGAAGTATGCAATCGTGTGATGCTCCTCCGAGTTCAACAGTGTCTTTGGGCTGTTTTCATTCTCAAATATCAATCTGAGCTTTATTAATCCTCTCTAGAAAAAAAGTATTCTGGAGATAAAATATGTAGTATATATTCTCTCTGAACATTCACTGTCACAAATCCAAAGATCAAGCATGACACAATCCATGATTCAAAAAAAAAAAAAACCCAAGGGGGAAGGAAAAATTAATTAAAACTTGCTATGTGGACATTTACAAAATCTAGTTACACCAGCAAGTTTACCAAAAATTTACAGATTCTAATGTGTTTCAGAGGTTTAGGAGATTTGCCAATATCAACCACTGCTAAACACTCCTGTGCCAGTATAATTATGCTACCTCATGATGCTAAATAGAGGTGGCCTTTATACATCCACTTGTGGCCTATATTATAAAAAGTAGACAACTAGAAGAGCCTTTTAATTTTAGTGCTTAATCCAGACTTCCATCTGCCTTTTCTATGGTTAAAAGCACAACTAAATAAACTTCAAGTGGAATTTAGATGCAGGTCTGTGCAACCAATATGTAATTCTCCATCACGTGTTTGTGTAAACCAAATGCTTACTACTTACAAAAAATATTTTCATAAATTTACATGCCTAATGAAGCATGCAAAATAAAATAGAGCTACACATATACAAAGATCTATGTGTATCTCAGTTCTATACATAACTAAAGTAGAGCTTAATCTCAAAACAGGTGTTTATAGGTTGGAACCTAAGGATTTTGTAAAGATTCTTAGCATGAAGTGATGTCTCAATGACTTTTAAAAAAAATACTTTCATGACCCACTGAAACCTCTTGTAATCATATGATCCATCAAAAGGAAGACATAAGAGCCTTAAGACTTGAGTCCCGATGTAGACATTTTAAGCTAGAGATGGTTGGTGTTGGTGCAGCACCCCCTTCCCACTTAAACATATGTTTTAGCCTATATTTAATACTTTTTAATTGTTCTCATATTTATAATTGGTTTCTATTGCTATTTTAAGTACTTGTAAGCCATTCAGGATCACTCTGAACAGTGAGATGGCTAGCATATAAATTTAATAATAATGAGAATAACAACAGCAACAACTGGATCATCACTTGAACACCATTGGCATTGACAAATTTGCCATTAGTCAATTGCAAAAGGCGGCTTTACTGAGAACAGCTTCCATCCTGCAAGAATATGTGTAACACCATCAAGCATCAACATCTACCTACCCCAAATCCTTGGTAAGGAATAGAATGGAATGGAATGGAATGGAATAGAATAGAATAGAATAGAATAGAATAGAATAGAATAGAATAGA